TTTCGCCCCCCCCTACCTTGGTACAGTCCAATACAGTTCCAATCTTTACTCATCCTCCCCCTACCATTCCCAATATTGTCTCCCATACGACATCTCTGAATTCCGAAACACTTGAAGCAATCTCTGAATATATTGCAGAGACCAAACCATCAAATGGACACTGATCCACCTTCCGCTCTTTCTCTCTCCTCTGCTCCATCTGCGCAACTCCTTTCTTCACAGCGCACCGTTCCTTCGCTGCTTGAACATTTTCCACTGCCTCCGCAGGTGGACTTTTCTAACCCTTCTAGTCCGTAGGAACCCTTACCTGCGGATTTCAAGTATCTTTATCATTGCCAATCATGGCCTTTTTACAGTGGAATATACGCGGCCTCAGGGTAATCGGGGTGAGCTTCAGATGTTACTCTCCCAGTTTGCCCTGTTGGTGTTTGCTTACAGGAACCAAAATTACACTCTGCTGTTATTTCTCACATCTCAGGCTATAATTTATTGTATTCTTCAGATCCTTTTCCTGATGGGACCTTTAATGAAAGTGCCCTTCTTCTCCGCACTGATATTCCGTACCATCAGCTATTTGTTCATACTTCGCTGCATTACACAGCAGCCGTATCCACTTACATAGGTGGTATACGCTCTGTTCTTTATATCTCTCTCCTTCTCGGGCATTATCTATTCCGGATTTTGCCTTCCTTGTTTGTCATTACCGCCACCGATTCTGTTACTTGGTGATTTTAATGCCCACCATTTCCTCTGGGGAGGGTCTCACTGTGATTCCCGTGGAATTCAGTTAGAGGCTTTTCTTGCCACCCACCCCCTCCATGTTTTAAATACAGGTACTCACACCCATTTTGATCCTCGGACTCATACTCTCTCTTGCATCGATCTCTCAGTTTGCTCTTCCTCCGCCGCATTAGACTTTACTTGGTCTGTTCTCCCGGACTTACATGACAGTGATCATTTCCCAATTCATTCTTATTTCCCCCTTCATATTCGCCACCTCTTCGCACCCCACGCTGGCAATTTAATCGGGCAAATTGGAACCTTTACTCACACCTGACTGTTTTTAAAGAGGTTCCTTCTTCGTCCTCCATCGATGAGCTTTTACACCTCTTCTCGTCCTCCGTTTTCACTGCAGCTTCTCATTCTATACCCCAAACTTCGAGCAGGCATTCTCAGAAATGCGTGCCTTGGTGGTCCCCTGCTTGTGCTCATGCAGTACGTTTGAAACGCGCTGCTTGGGGCAGGTACCGGTACAAAAGAACCACAGAGCGACTCCTTGATTTTAAACAGAAGCGTGCGATCGCTCGCCGTGTCATCCGTGACGCAAAACGCACTTGCTGGCGAGATTATGTCTCCACCATCACCTCTGCTTCCTCTATGAGTGCAGTCTGGAAAAAAGTACGAAAACTGAGTGGTAAATATTCTCCTGACCCGGCTCTGTTCTGGGGGTTGCCGTGTTGATATAGCAAACCCACTAGATGTTGCCAATGAAATTGGCAATCATCTGGTCCGTATTTCTCAGGGACTCCATCTATGCCCCTCATTTCTTTCCTCAAAGTCTGCCAGAGAGTTAGCACCCTTGGACTTTTCTTCTCTCAGAGAAGAACAGTATAATGTGCCTTTTACACTTCAAGAACTGGAGGCAACACTCTCAGCTTGTCGATCATCGGCAGCTGGGCCCGACGACATTCATATTCGTATGCTACAACATTTACATCAGTCAGCCCTTGCAGTCCTATTACGCCTTTACAATCTTATTTGGTCACAAGGAGTTCTTCCACAGCTGTGGAAATCCGCCATTGTTCTCCCTTTCCGCAAACCAGCCACTACGGGACATGAAACCTCCCACTATCGTCCCATTGCTCTTACCAGTGCAGTTTGCAAAGTAATGGAACGTCTAGTAAATAGACGTTTAGTGTGGTATTTAGAGAACACAACAGTCTCTCCACTCGTCAATATGGCTTTCGTAAGGGACGTTCTACCATAGACCCCTTACTGCGCTTGGATACGTATGTTCGTAATGCCTTTGCGAATAACCACTCAGTTATTGCCATATTTTTTGACCTTGAGAAGGCATATGACACAACTTGGAGGTATAATATTTTAGCCCAAGCCCACTCCTTAGGCCTTCGAGGCAATCTACCATCCTTCCTTAAGAACTTTTTAACTGACAGGCATTTCCGTGTTCAGGTTAATAATGTGCTCTCCCCGGACTTTATCCAAGCTGAAGGTGTCCCCCAGGGATGTGTTCTTAGCACAACACTTTTTCTCCTTGCTATTAATGATTTGGCCTCTAGTCTTCCATCAAATATTTGGTCATCACTCTATGTTGATGACTTCGCTATTGCCTGTGCAGGCGCTGACTGTCACCTCCTTACAGTTTCTCTCCAGCATGCAGTCGACCGTGTTTCAATTGGGCCACCACACATGGGTTTAAATTTTCAGCACTAAAACCCACCAAATCACTTTCACTAGACGCTCTGTCATCTCTGATCATCCTTTGTACTCTATGGCTCACGTATCCCTGAACGTGATACAGTCAAGTTTCTGGGCCTCCTCTTTGATCGTAGGTTATCCTGGAAACCTCACATTACCTCTCTGAAGGCAACTTGTCACAGCGGCTGAACCTTCTTAAAACCCTTGCTCATCTTTCGTGGGGAGCTGATCGTCGAACCCTCCTTCACCTACATTCCACCCTTATTTTATCGAAACTTGATTATGGTGACCAGATCTATTCAGCGGCATCTCCTGCTACTCTCTCTAGCCTTAACCCCATTCATCACCAAGGATTACGTTTATGGCCTTGGTGCTTTTCGCTCTTCCCCTGTCGAAAGCCTCTATGCAGAAGCGAACGTTCCATCCTTATCCGATCGCCGTGATGCCCATTGCCTGCGCTACTATGTACGCTCTCATGATCTTCGCAATCCTTCCATTTATAGAATGGTCACTGATATTAGTAGACATTCTTTATTTGTTCGCCGCCCCTGCTTACTCCGTCCCTTCTCTCTTCGCCTTCATTCGCTCTTGTCTTCTCTTCAACTACAACCTTTCTATGTACATGTAGCATCTCACTTTTCCCTACCCCCCTGGGAAGTTCCAGCTGTTCGAGTCTGTTCTTTCTCCCTCCCTTGCTCGAAAGCCCAACTGTCTACGGTCGCTTCCCGCTCTCTTTTTCTTGACCACTTTCACTCTCATTCTCATGCCATTGCTGTGTACACAGATGGCTCTAAGTCTTCTGACGGCGTAGGATTCGCAGCAGTGTTTCCGGACAGCGTCGTACAAGGGCATTTACTATCTTCAGCTAGTATTTTTACTGCTGAATTATATGCCATCCTTACAGCACTTATCAGTATTGCATCTATGCCTGTGTCATCATTTGTGGTTGTCTCAGACTCCCTTAGTGCTTTACAGGCTATACAAAAATTTGATACACCTCACCCCTTAGTCCTCCGTATCCAACTTTGGCTACGCCGCATCTTTACTAAGCATAAAGATATTGTTTTTTGTTGGGTCCCTGGTCATGTTGACGTACAGGGCAATGAACAGGCAGACAGTGCTGCGCGGTCAGCAGTACATGACCTACCAGTTTCTTATAGAGGTATTCCATGTACGGACTATTTTGCTGTAATATCTTCCCCACCTTCACACCCGTTGGCAACAACGTTGGTCTACTATGCTCGGCAACAAACTTCAGTCTATTAAACGAGTATAGGTTACTGGCCGTCTTCTTATCACAGTGTCGAGGTTGGGAGACTACTCTCTCCCGTCTTCGCATTGGCCATACTCGTCTTACTCATGGATATCTCATGGAGAGGCGTCTTGCTCCTCTCTGTGAGAATTGCCAAGCTCCATTATCAGTCAGCCACATTCTGTTGGACTGCCCACTTTATCAACGAGCATGCAGAATTTACCTCTGTCGTCGTCTTCGCCCCGCTGCTCTCTCTTTACCTTCCCTTCTCGCTGATGGACCCACCTTTCATCCGGACTCTCTCATTGACTTTTTGACAACGACTGACTTACTTCACAAATTCTGATACTTTCAGCCCTTTCTACTTGTATCTCTTGCTACCCTCTACCCTCGTACTATCCCCTGCCCCGCTGTTTTCTGTAACCTGCTGATCATCCCCCCTCCCTTCTGCCATCCAATTCCCTTGCTTCCTTCCCTACCCTGCAGCGCTGTATAGCCCTTGTGGCTTAGCGCTTCTTTTTGATTATAATAATAATAATAATAATAATAATAATAATAATAATAATATGTCGTTTATGTAAATTGTGAACAACAATGGGCCCAACACTGACCCCTGAGGAACACCGCTTGTGACGTGCCCCCATTCTGATTTCTCCCCATTTATGCAAACTTTCTGCTGTCTATTTGTCAGCCATGCCTCTACCCAGGAGAAAATTTCTCCTCCTATTCCGTTTGCCCTAAGTTTCCTCAGATGGACTTTTATTAGAATCAGCAACATTTTTTTGAATAATTTTGCTATAATGGTGCCACATATTATCAAGGCAACTTTTAATATAAAAAAATTCCATTTTCATGATTTTTATGTCACTTTCTTTACAAGAAAGGCTTTCAAAATGGACCCAAGGAAGTTATAGTTCCCCTAGTAATGCATTTATTCAGACATAAGAATACAGGAATTAATAGCTAATATATAAGAATAAATATGGCTTAGAGTAAAGTTTTTAGTCCTTGTATTTGATCGCCAAATCTAGTCTGGCTACGTACAGTTGGGCTGTATAGCCCTTGTGGCTTAGCGCTTCTTTTTGATTATAATAATAAATACGTACAGTTGGCATCAACGGTCAATACAACCAAATTCACTAATTAACAGCAAATCTTACAGAGGAACAGAACTTGCCAAACTAAGGACATGTGCTTCACCTAGCAGTCAGCAACCACTACTGATTAATCTGACTCCCCACGAATATTACACAGCAGAAATATTGCCTTGGTTAGCACCACCCAGTGGCAAGAGAAAGCGAGTGTTACGTACCAATGATGGTGATCCTGGTGACGACTGGCGGTTGTTGTGTGCTGAACCATAGGTGACACCAGCCAGCGGGAGGCTTGGTGCTTCTGGTGACTCCCAGCAACCTCACACACGGCTTTCCTCCTGCACCAGGTAATATACACTTTAGTGTGTGTGTGATTTAATTACCCTATTGGAGTTGATGGAGACTGAGAAAGGTCTTGGATCCAAATCTTTTGACCGGATGGCATGAATTAATTCGACTTATTTTATGTTTTAACCTCTGTGTAGTACTTGTATGTATACGCTGTGTCCCTTTGTTTGTTGTATGGTTTGTTCATACCATTTCCTGTTCTGCCTTCATATTGAGACAACATAACTTTAGGAATAAAGAGACGTATGCAACACTGAGGTCAGGGGTACCCTAATAGTCGATAGCGATCTACTAGCAGATGGCAGAGCAATTTTAGTAGATTCCTTGATGACCAATTAATGATACAAATTGCAAAGAGTTGGAATACGATATTTAGCTGTTGGAAATAACTCTGTGTCTAGGCTGAGCGACTCAACACCTTAGAATTACCTCCATTCTCTCCGGTATGGGGAAAAAAGTGAAAAAAAAGAAACCTGCTACACAAGTGAAACGTCTCATCAAGAAAGATGCTCATCAGTGATCGAAATGTTCAACAGTTGCAGAATGTTATTACAGACTACAACAGACACGTTTCAAGATTTACCAACTTATAGATCATTTAAATGTTTCCCATTTGATGTAAGCACTGACATTGTATGGGTGTCCTCCACACCTGCCTCCTGACACTGATGACATTGTATGGGTGTCCTCCACACCTGCCTCCTGACACTGATGACATTGTATGGGTGTCCTCCACACCTGCCTCCTGACACTGATGACATTGTATGGGTGTCCTCCACACCTGCCTCTTGACACTGACACTGATGACATTGTATGGGTGTCCTCCACACCTGCCTCCTGACACTGACACTGATGACATTGTATGGGTGTCCTCCACACCTGCCTCTTGACACTGACACTGATGACATTGTATGGGTGTCCTCCACACCTGCCTCCTGACACTGACATGATGACATTGTATGGGTGTCCTCCACACCTGCCTCTTGACACTGACACTGATGACATTGTATGGGTGTCCTCCACACCTGCCTCCTGACACTGACACTGATGATATTGTATGGGTGTCCTCCACACCTGCCTCCTGACACTGACACTGATGACATTGTATGGGTGTCCTCCACACCTGCCTCCTGACACTGATACTGATGACATTGTATGGGTGTCCTCCACACCTGCCTCCTGACACTGATACTGATGACATTGTATGGGTGTCCTCCACACCTGCCTCCTGACACTGACACTGATGACATTGTATGGGTGTCCTCCACACCTGCCTCCTGACACTGACACTGATGACATTGTATGGGTGTCCTCCACACCTGCCTCCTGACACTGATACTGATGACATTGTATGGGTGTCCTCCACACCTGCCTCCTGACACTGATACTGATGACATTGTATGGGTGTCCTCCACACCTGCCTCCTGACACTGATACTGATGACATTGTATGGGTGTTCTCCCCACCTGCCTCCTGACACTGATTTCTGATGACATTGTATTTGGGGGTCCTCCCACTGCCTCCTGACACTGTACTGATGACTGTATGGTTCCTCCACACCTGCCTCCTGACAATGATACTGATGACATTGTATGGTGTTCTCCACACCTGCCTCCCGACATGATACTGATGACATTGTATGGGTGTCCTCCACACCTCCTCCTGACACTGAACTGATGACTTGTAAGGGGTTAAATATCATATATCTTTCATGGTATATGTTTGTGTTTTGGTACGTGTGTTGGGAGGCGGCGGTATATGCCGTGACTAGCACTGTAGCTAAATAATGAACCATCTTTTATTATTGATAGGTTTACAATACCGTAAAGTTGATGAATAAGATAAATGTTCAATACTGCGGCCACATTTATATTTCCAAATATTTCACCTGGCACAAACTAGCTTCTTCAGTCGATTAGAGGACAGTACTACATGGAAAGCAGCAGATGCTGACCTGCATCGTGTCGAAGGACGTATCTTGCGAGTTGCTCTATGAAGGGATTCAATGCCATCATTGGATGATGCTGTACCAAATACCTGAGGAATTGATGGCGTCACTGGACTGTGGTAACAAAATGTTATTTGTAGTAATTCATCCTGCGGTGGTGAACAGTTGGACAAGGTAGCTGTGCAGTGGTAACAAATGGAATGAAGCCAAAAATCAAAAGGAAGGATGGAGAGAAGAAGATCCAGGAGATTACTTAAGAAAACTCCAACTTGCTCTTTGTTCCGTCTGATGACTGTTGGTTGACTAATGCAAACAATGGATGAACTACACAAGGGAAGATAAGGACATAGTTCTTGTAGGAGATAGATTAGGTTCATGTATTACAACTTTTTCCTTGATAGGGAACAGAAGAGTTTCTTTCATGGGCCTGGGATGGAGAATATTATTAGCCGTCTTGACTGCATTGTGAATGGAAATGCGATCAATCCTATTAAACACCTCAGGGCTAGAGGCAAGGATGATGGTAAGTGAGGCTTTGATTACCAGGTATAGGACAGCAATAGACATAATTAGGAAGAAGGGAGAGTACACTGTAATATGTAGTATTTTGCCAAGAAAGGGAATTGGAAGTGAATGGTTGTCCAGGCAATTGGTGTTAATTGCTGGCTGGACAAAATTTCTAGGGATATTGCATTGCCATTCATTGACAACTGGGTTCAATTTCTATGGTGAAATGTAATACCTTTTATGGGGGGAGGGGGTATTATTTATCTGGGGCTGGGGGTGGAGGGCTTTTGCTTAGCTCAGTGGAGGAAGTGTTAGGGCTTTAAATTAGAAATAGAAGGTTTGAGTTGTTTGGTAAAAAGAATGAAATATGGTACAATAGAACTGGGCAGTGTGAATTATCAAGCCTGTGATATTGTAGTTTTGGGGGATGTGAGCTGTGGGCAAAATAAGGTAGGATTATTGGTTAATATTGGAAATTCGGTGGCATTAGGTGATAAGGGCAGCAGGAGAGATAGTGGAGCTGGGATGAACAGCTGAAGAGGGGGTTTCTCAATATGTATTACACAAATAGTCGTAGTGCTAGAAACAAGATAGAGTAGTTGAGATTAGTTACATGTGCTAGTATCATTGATGTAATTTGCCTACTGAATGTCACATTCAGGGTTTTTAGTTATTCCATGTTGTTAAAATTAAATGAGGTATGGTGTTGTACTAATGTCTGAAAATTCCTGAATTGCTGCATAAAAATGAATATAAAGAATTATGGAAAAACGAGTCTATATGGGCAGAATTCTTAGACGTGAAAAACTGATTTCAGGCATGATTTACTATCCTTCACAATTGATGGGGACCAATTAATTAAGTACTACTAGGGAGGAATAGTTAATGCCTTCAAGGCACAATAAGGTAGATTATTTAGAAGATTTTAACTATTCAGATTGTTTGGAATTCCTTTGGAAGGAATTTAAAATAAAAACTGCTTCCTAGAGGTAATGCAAATTATTTTATTTTATTATACACTAGCCGACTCCCACCCAAGGCAGGGTGGCACGAAAAAGAAAAACTTTCACCTTCATTCGCTCCTTCACTGTCTTGCCAGTAGGGTGCTTTAACACTACGTTTATTAAAACTGCAACATTAACACCCCTCTTACAAAGTGTTGGCACTGTACTTCCATCCCAGGACTCAAAGTCCGGCCTGGCCGGTTTCCTGAACCCCTCATAAATGGTTACTTTGCTCACACTCCAACTGCACGTCAAGTATTCAAAAATACCATTGTCTCCATTCACTCCTATCAAACACGCCTCACGCATGCCTGCTGGAAGTCCAGCCCCTCGCCACACAAAACTCCTTTACCCCCCTCCTCTCACAACTTTCCTAGGCCGAACCCCTACCCCGCCTTCCTTCCACTACAGACTGATACACTCTTGAAGTCATTATGTTTCGCTCCATTCTCTCTTCATGTCCGAACATCCTCAACAACCCTTCCTCAGCCCTACTGGACAATCATGTTTTGGTAAATCCCGCTCCTCCTCCAACTTCACAAATCTATGATTCTCTGCATTATATTCCACGAACACGTTGCTCTCAGACATGACAATCTCCACTGCCTCCAGCCTTTCCCTCGACTGCATCATTTCATCACCATGCTTCACACCCATATAAGAGGTTGTTGGTAAAACTTTCTCTCATACATTCCCCTCTTTGCCTCCAAGGACAACAGTTCTTTGTCTCCACGACTCCTTAAGTGCACACTCAATCTTTTTCCACTCATCAATTCTATGATTACATCATCTTTCATAGACCCATCCGCGACACCTCCACTCACCAATTATCTGATAAATTCACCTCCTCCATACTCTCTCATCCAATCTGATAATCCAATCTTTATACCTAATCTTTTTTTTATCCTAATAACCTTACTCTTTCCTGTATTCACCTTTAATTTCTTCTTTAGCACACCCTACCAAATTCATCCACCAATCTCTGGAAATTCTCTTCAGAATCTCACAAGAGCACAGTGTCTTCTGCAAAGGGAGCAGCTGTGACAACTCCCACTTTGTGTGTGATTATCTTTTAACTCCACGCCTCTTGCCAGACCCTCGCATTTACTTCTCTTACACACCCCCCTCTATAAATATTTTAAACAACCACCTGGTGACCTCACACATCCTTGTCTAAGGCATACTTTTACTGGGAAATAATTTCCCTCTTTCCTACATACTCTATCTTGAGCTCACTATCCTCGTTAAAACTCTTCATGCTTTCAGTAACCCTCCTCACTACACCATACACTTGCAACATCTAGCCACGTTGCCCCCCTATCCAACCTGTCATACGCTTTTCAAATCCATAAAATGCCACAAAGATCCTCTTTAGCCCTTATATAAATACTGTTCACTTATATGTTTCAACTGTAATACCTGGTACACAAACCCCATACTTTACCAAGTATACTCAGCAGACTTATCCCCCTATTAAATTTTGCACTCTCTTTTTTCCCCTTTGCCTTTATACAAAAGGAACTATGCATGCTCCTGGCCAATCCCTAGGTACCTTACCCTCTTCATACCATTTATTAATAATTGCCACCAACCACTCCAAAATATATCCCACCTGCTTTTAACATTTTATCTTTATTCCATCAATCCCGGCTGCCTTACCCCCTCTTCATTATATCATACTGCCTCACGAACTTCCCCCACTACTCAACATCTGGGCTCTTCCTCACTCTACATAGATTTATTTTCGTCCTTGTCCTGTACACGAAATAACAGCTTTCCCTATCTTCATCAACATTTAAACAATTCCTCAAATATTCCCTCCATCTTCCCAATACTCTAAACTCTCCATTTAATATCTTCTCCTCTCCTATTTTTAATGACAAATTCATTTTGTTCTCTAGCTTCTCTTACTTATTAATCTCAATTCCCAAAACTTTTTCTTATTTCAACAAATCTTGATGATAACATCTAACCCACTCTCTCCAATTTGCTCTCTTTTTACTTGCTTCACCACTATCTTAACCTCTCTCTTTTTCACATGTACCACTGATTCAAGGGGGGCTCATTGCGTGAGTGGATGAGGCTCTTGGTCTGTGGAATTAGACCTATGGTTTCTTTCTCAGACCGAACCTAATTACCCCCAATCTCCCTCCCCTATCCATCCTCCCAATCCTCACCTTTTTCCTTTCATCCTCTCTCCCCACTCCGCCCTTTTTGCCTTCTTTTTTGTCCTTTGGGTTTTCTCCCACTGGCGCGCTAGCTTCCTAGGTAGAGGGAATGGACACTCGGGGTCCATCCATTCCGTTGAGGTTTTCTTGGCGGGAGCGTGGCGTAGTTTGCCGTGGAATCTGGATTGCCCTAGGGATGTCCCGATCCTCTCGGTTTCCCGGAGTGGTTTGGGTGTTTTTGGGCGACGGGTGTATATCTGGGGAAGCCACCTTCGGTTTACCGGGGGTGGATGGGCAGAAGGACGGTTATGCTTTGTGGCAGATAAATTTTTTGTTTTCCGGCCGCTCTCTTTTGTCTCCACGTAGGTAGCTCGCAGATGTGAAGGTTGCTATTCCCAGATTGCTGGTTTACTGGCATGAAGGGTTAGGGTTTGGGCAGGGTTCCATGCTGCATTCTGCGATAATAGCCCGGTGTCGAGTCCCTCTTGGGCGCAGGTGGGAGTTTCTGGCCCTTTAATTCCTCCTAGGAAAAAACTATCCCTCCCCGGTCCCCTTTTTTTTTCTTTTTTTTCTTTTTATTTTCTTTTCTTCTATCTTTTTTTTTTTTCTTAAAAACAAAAAGAAGAGTAACACTAACATGGCAGCCCTAGTCCATGTACATGGTACCCGGGCCCCATTTCTTGATTACCGCACCCCGTTCTGACCCCGCCTCGTCTTTGGACCACTCTTCAGACATTCCTCTTGCCTCTGTACCTATTGACGGTGCTGTTTCTCAACCGCTTCAGGTACTGAGGCCTCGACTGACTCCTTCGATTTATCACGAATTCGCTCTTCCTCTGACTATGCTTCGGCCTCTCCCTCTACGGTGCGGCAATTTTCAAATAGCGACCATTCACAACGTCGGACCAATTCTGGTTCCCACGCCTAAACGTCAACGACAATTACCTGCTGTTGGATACTTCTCCCACATTTCACCTCTCGTTTTCTCAGAAAAACGATCGACACGTACTTCACTACCCCCCCCCCCCCTTTTCCACGCTCAGTTTCAGGACGAACAGTGGGACTAAATTTTCACTTTACGACCAATTCCCTATCTGCCCTATCTTTCTGACAATTTTATTGGCAGGCTTCCTACGCAATTGTTGGTAAAGATATTTCTTTTCACTGCTCTTAAGATTTGCTAATGATGTACGCGCATCATTACCAATGCAGAATGTACCCAGCTCGTGGATCTCCTCGTCTTTCCCAATTTAGATACTGTTCCTGTCACCACTTGAAAAAACATCATTCCCTCAATTCTTGTAGTGGTTTACCTTTATTCTGCCCCATACCATTGTTCAACAAAATTTCCTGTCATGGGCCACCGACATTCTACGAACAGATTG